CAGTTCAATCTAGGCCAAAGGGGCCCAACAATTAAACCTAGGCCAATAGGCCCCGACAGTTTAACCTAGGTCAATGGGCCCCAACAGTTCAACCTAGACCAATGGGCCCCGACAATTAAGGGTGCATTCACACCAGCCCTGTTTAGTACTCTTTAATCGAACTCTAGCTCGTTTTCCTAGAAAGTCCGGTTCGTTTGGGGAGGTGTGAATGCGCCGTCGAACTCTGTCACAGAACAAAAAGGCGAACTCTGGCCCGAGCTAAAACCTAGGTCTCGGTCCGGTAGAAGAGAACTCCAGCGCGGTTCGAGTGCAATGTGAATGTAAACAGACCGAGCCCCGCTCCACAAGCAAGAAGTGGAGTACAGCGCACGGCAAACAAACACGCATTTCTCTGACCTCATATGGGGGAGTGGTGGCGCAGAGGTTAGAGAGGTGGGCCTGTGATCCGAAGATCGCCGGTTCACGCCCCGGCCCCGACAACATCAAAATTGTGGGTGGGGTAGGTGAAACACCCACACTTGCCCCCACCCTCATTCGCCCCACTCTGGGCCCATGAGCAAGGCCCTTAACCCCCACCATGTGCTCCCTAAACAGGTCTCTCTTGAAAATGAGTTCTCGTGGCTCAATGAGACTAACCTGGATAAATAAAGGCTAAAAATAAAAAAATATGGAGCCGTCAGCTTGTCTTGTGTGAAAAACAATATTCTCCATGGTCTTCTGCCTCATCTTCTGCTCATGCTGAATCCATTGTTGAAAAATGACAAAATATAACTCCTAAAACTGCTAAAACTTGATGCCACTCCATTTTTGTTTTTATTTCCAGAAGAAGAAGACGTGTCTTCAGAGGTTTTGTGTTGTTTCTTTTAGTAGTTCTTGGTGCAGCGCCCCCACAGGCGAGCGGGGGAACAGGTTGGTTCAACAGGTTGACTCGACTGCACAGTGCAGTGTGAATGCAAACGCACCAGCTCAAATGTAACAAAATGTCATGAATATTGGTCCCCAACCGAAACGAGTCTACAGTTCCACCTCATGTACCACATGTACATCGGTATAAAAAGTATACAAACTACAGTTCGCAGCTTAGATGTCCTGAATGAGCTGAATGTTTGGCCACAAGGACGGTAAAAATAACTGAAAATGTCGTCGTTACTGTCAGAAACACACCTGAAGACACCATAAACAGAAAGACAATGGTGTGGATGCTGACTCAGTGTTTTGATTTTAGGCTCGTAGAAGGAAAGATGGATGGATTCATGTTCGCTTTCTTTACAGAGAAGACGAAGGAGACGCTCAAACCTCCTCCCCCCCCCCCCCCCCCCCCCCCCCCCCCCCTTTAATTCCCTTCCTTTCTGAGATTAGACTGCATCCAGACAGATGGTTCCCGTCTGCTGGCTTTTTTCAATTCACTTCCTCTCATCACAGACACCCCCCTCCCCTCCCCCAATTCCC